TTTTTGTTTTTAAACATTCAGGCATATGTAATAATTTAAACCACCAAAGGTGCCATTCTGCATGTCTGCCTCCTTGCCACCAACTCTCAGTCCCTCTCTTTCCATGAATCTAGAGTCCTCAGCTGCTCCCTCTTTCTATGTCCCCATCTTTGCCTCCATTTCTGAAGTCGCTGCTTCTCTGGATAGGATCCTGCATTCCACTTGTGCACTTCTCCCTTAATGGTCCTAGGGCCCTCTGTTTCTGGACTGTAAGATTCACTACTCCCCCATTTTAGTTACAAAACTTCTACCTTTACAACTCTGACAGGCAATTAGTGATAACAATTACTATTGAATCTTAAAAATCTTACCCCGTCTCTCTACCAGACCTATCTAGACAAGTATTGCCAAAGGTAATACAGAAACGGCTATAATCATACATTGACAGAGAACTTCCAGAAGTTCAAGCCGGATTCAGAAGAGGCCGTGGAACGAGAGATATCATTGCTTATGTCCGATGGATCTTGGTTGAAAGCAGAGACTATCAGAAAGATGTTTACTTGTACTGTATTGACTACACAAAGGCTTTTGATTGTGTGGATCATGACAAGCTATGGACAACGTTGCGAAGTATGAGTATTCCAGAACACTCAGTTGTACTCATGAGGAATTTGTACCTGGACCAAGAAGCAGTTGTTTGAACAAAACATGGGAACACAATGTTTTAAAATTAAGAAAGGTGTGTGACAAGGTTGTATTCTTTCACCATACTTATTCAACCTGTATGCTGAGCAAATAATCCAAGAAGCTGGGTTCTTTGAAGAAAAACAAAAATCCTCACCACTGGACCAATAAACAACATTCTTATGAACGGAGAAATGATTGAAGCTGTCAAGGACTTCATTCTTCTTGGATCAACTATCAACACTCACGGAAGCAGCAGTCAAGGGATCAGACGACATATTGCATTAAGTAAATCTGCAGCACAGGAACTTTTTAAAGTGCTGAAGAGCAGAGATGTCAGCTTGAGGACTAAGGGGCACCTGACCCAAGCCACGGTATTTTCAATAATCTCATATGCATGTGAAAGCTGGACAGGGAATAAGGAAGACCGTAGAATTGATGCCTTTGAATTATGGTGTTGGAGGAGAATACTAAAAGTACCATGGGCTGCCAAAAGAACCAATAGATCTGTTTTGGATGAAGTGCAGCCAGAGTGCTCCTTAGAGGCCAAGATGGCCAAACTTTGTCTCTCATACTTTGGACATATTGTCAGGAGGGAACAGTCGCTGGAGAAGGACATCATGTTTGGTAAGATGGAGGGTCAGAGAAAAAGGAAGACCCCCCAACAAGATGGATTGGCCAGGTGGCAGCATTGATGGACTTGTGTGTGGTAACAGTAGTAAGGTTGGCCCAGGATCAGACATTGTTTTGTTCTGCTATGCATAAGGTTGCTATGAGTCGGTGCTGACTCGATGGCACCTAACATCTAGACAAGATGAAAACGATTCAGTGGAGACTCTATCTCCTGTCCCCAGACAAGATGAAAACGATTCAGTAGAGACTCTATCTCCTGTCCCCAGACAAGATGAAAACGATTCAGTGGAGACTCTAGCTCCCTACTGCACCCCCACTTTAAAACTAAACTCCCTCTTGAAACCTTGTAAGCCAGTCACTTTGTGCCTTTATCACCCCCTCATTTTAGGTAGCCAGTATCTTAAGTTGCCTGTCCCTATCTACCTTGTATACAGAGGGGATAGCACTGATGCTTGATGTGAAGACTCCTTCCCTCTCTGTTGGTATTTTGAGCTACTACGTAGTGGTTATGAATCGGGCTGCGAATTGCAAGATCAGCAGTTTGAAACTACCAGCTGTTCCATGGGAGAAAGATGAGACTTTCTGCTCCTGAAAAGATTTACAGCCTCGGAAACCCTGTACAGGGTCACTGAGTCGGAACCGACACCATGGCACATAACTACCACCACTACCTCCATGAGTATAGTTCAAGTTCATCAAATTATAGCAATTTACTCTCATTTCCTTTATAAAAAATGTTTAAAATATGCTGAACCTCTCTGCTACCCAGAGGATAGTAGAAGTTCAGGAAGACATTGTTCTTAATCATCCCGTAGTCACTTTGTGAATCTTTCCTTCTTTACCTCTCCAATTGGTATACTTAACATTCTTTACTAGAGGCTAAATAAATGTTTTTATTATGTCTTTTAGATTTTATAACTGGGAATACTTGGTACATCCAAATTACTTGAGTTTGGCAAACAACTGGGAACCACAGCCCAGTCAGCAATAGTTTCTGGAAAGAGGATGAGTTTTCTTCTTACTTTGAGTGTTAACTCCTACATTAGTTGTTCCGACTCATAGCAACCCCGTATAGGGTTTCCGAGGTGCAGCTGGTGAGCTTGTGGTTCAAAATGACCTTGCAGTCTAGCGCATTAACCCACAGCACCACACCAGGACTCCAGTACTGCCCTTAGCCCATTTGTAAGTTCAACAGAAGGTTACAAGGTATTCTACCTATGAAAAGGGAAAATTAACCCTTGAGAGGTATGAGACAATAATTCATTGGTTCCTGCCAATTCATTTTCCCAGCAATACACTTTTCAAAAAGGTACTACTTAATTACCTTTTACTCTGGGTAGATGTCATTGAGTTGATTTCAACTTTACTATGGATGATTATCGCCCAGTCCTCTGCCATCCTCACAGTCATTCTTGTTTGATCCTATTCTTGTTGATACTGTCAGTCCGTCTCATTGAGGGCCTTCCTCTTTTTTGCTGACCCTTTTTCCTAGTCTTTCTTAAAATGTCTCTGAAATCATTATTTCTCCACTTGAAATGAGATATACAATTCACCCCCAGCTTTTCTCAGGGTGTTGGAGCCTGTGTACTATAGTCAGGTGCAGTTGTTAAAAAGAAGCTAGGCTGGGGCAGACCTCACAGGATTTTGTGGGTTATGAGAATTATCTTCAATCAAAGTGGGATGGGAAGGCACTGAAAGGGTCTTAAGCAGTTGGAAGGACCCAAGATTTGGTTGCAGGGCAGTTAAGTGCAGGTTAAGAGGAATGCAAGATAGGAGCCTTTGCAGAGTAGGCTGGCGGCAGAGGAGATAGTAAATACTTACACAATAAGGTAGAACTTAAAGTTTGAACCATCGCTAGGACTAGAAACTTACATTTAATTATTCCAGAGACTACTTGCAATGCAAGTAAGAGACAGCAGTACTAGTTACTAGTAGTTTTCCTTATACAAGTTGTATTTTCTCTGTAGACTCGCAGGGAAATGTGGTAGGACTATTTTTAATCTTAAAGACTTCTAGCCATAACAAAACATCCTGGCAAGGCAATTTAGTGGTATATAAATCAAAGTTTACCCCACTACAGTGTTTTATAGGCGTGCAATTAAGTCTTAAATTCTTGGAATTCTACATTTAGAAATGGAAGAAACATGAGGACATCAGAAATGCTTCTTGTCCATCTCATTTTGCAGATGGGGGCAGGGTCTGTTAAAGATTTACCCAATGTCACATGAAATCTAATCTGGAAGTATCAAAAAGACTCAGATATAAGTCCCAAGCACAGATCTCTGAGGTGAACTTAACTCGAATTGCCAGATTTTTATGTTGGCTCCAGCAGCAGCCATGTTGTAACTTGGTGAAACCTTTTTTCATATGGCAATTAATCTTTAACAATGGGAATATGGAGAAATTTCTCTGTGAAGGAACCATACATGCTTGTGAATAGGCAGAGAGCCCTTATCACTGCTCATAAAAGACTAAACAGCCCACACAGTAGAAAACAGAGAAAAGGAATAAGGGCATCGATACAGGCTCTGGCCTACAGCCTAGATCATCTGGAGTCATGTTGAGCCATCAACATGACTGAGTTGTGCCCATTGGCTTCTCCCAGAGCTCTCCAAAACTGTGTCGAAGGTTTTTACCATCGTAAAAAGGCCAGAAATCACAAAGCTACTTCTGTTCCATCAGTTAGGCAGATGTAGACAAATCTAACTTGATAAGCATGTATGGTCCCAGACTTCTAGATGCCCCTGCATTCCTTTCATAAATGTTAGGGGCAAAAATAGAGCTACGAAAACACCCTGGGTGTGTGTGTGTGTGGGCAGCGAGTATGGGAACGTATGGCAAAACCTGGAAGCCCAGGTACTGGACTGCATAGCAGTACAGTACTGGTCCAGCTTTTTGCTTCTACCATCAGATGCTACATCATAAGCTGGACTGGTGACCAGGTGGGCAATGCCTGAATTTGGCCCCTACCTATAGTGCACCCACCTACCCTGTACCCTCAGAGGCTGAACAAAGGGTGCTTGACACCAGGCTTTATGATTTCCACTTTATTGTTCAAGCACGGACCTTCAGCAATATGCAGAGAAGAGGCTGAGGGAGTGGGGATATAACCTGGCTGGGCTAGGAGGGGAAACAATGGAAGGGGCACAGGGGGTGGTCATCATGACACCAGAGACATCATAAAGCCACATGGTTTGGGGTGAGGAAGGGAACAAAGAGAAGTAATGGGCACAGCAGTGGTTCTTCCTGGGCCCCTAGCACCCACAAGGAGGTCACATTTGGAAATGGACTGGGAAAAGGAGGGGATGAGGAAAACGGCTGCCTGGGGGTCTCCCTCTCCACCCTGGTTTCACATCAGACCCCATCCTTACCACTTGACCCCTTCTACCATTTGAAAAATGGACCTAACGAACAGGAAATAAAATAAATTAACATTCTGATGAGGATGTGGGCGGATGTATGTTTGGGGAAAAGGAAGGGAAGCGGGGTGACATGGCCTAAAACTTATCCCCACCTCAGCTCCCCCAGCTTAGTCCTTTCCCCCTCTCCCCCCAAAACCATCATCCAACCAGATAGAAAAATAAAGGTCTAGTTCACTCAAAATTCTTCAGTTTTTACAAAACTAACAGGGTGGAGTAGGGTAGTAGGCAATAGGGGATATAGGCAGTCAGGCAGGCAGCCGCAGGAGGAAGGTTTGGGAGAGGCTATGCTTCCGTCTCCAACTGAGACTGGTTCCCTGCTACGTTGTTCTGTTCATCCTTCATATCTGTGTCAGAGTTACGGTCTCCTGCAGCGATTTCTGCCTTGGCCTACAAGAAGCCAGAAAGGGGTAGGGGTTGAATTCCATTTCTCACATGGCCCAGTCCCTCTGATGGGAAAAGGTGACTTTCATTCCATGTCCCCAATCCTGTCTACCTATGCATTATCACATGTGGCTACTGAGCACTAGGAATTAAAAAATGTAAAGGGTAACTTACATGCTGAATAGTATTCTAGATACTTTGGATCAACTAAAAAAATACTAAAATGTATTTCATGTTTGTTTTTTCCCCAAAAAACTTTTCTTAGCATGGATACATGTATGCTTTAAATTACTCATGGTTCACAAAGTACTTCTATTGGATAATACTGGTTTAGCACATTGAAAGACTTGTAATAGGGAACTGGTTAAATATGAAGGGGCTTCAAAAAGTCTGGGAAAATCCCTTCACCAGCTCTAGGCACAGAAAAGAATATAAGTGGAAATGCATCAAAACAACCAACTCCTGAGGACTAGGGCCTGTGGGTGGGTTCTAGGGCCTGTGGGTGGGTTTTCAGTCCTGATCCTAGAAGATACACCAGTGCCTCTGGCAGCGACTGTTACTGATGGAACACACTGTCATTCTAGGGAAGAGGACAACTTTCATCTTCAGGACTGAACACCCCCTCTTCTTAGTCCTGTCCCCTGACCATTCCCTATCTCAATCTATACCTTGCTGTCCTCCTCAGCCAGCCTCTCAAACATGTTGGCATACAGCTTCTTCTCAAGTGCAAGCTGTTTGCGGATCCGCTGCTGGCAGATAGCCAGCTGAGCCTTGGCGGCCTTGTTGTTGGGGTAAAGCTGCAGGACCTTCTGGAAGTCAGCCCGTGCCAGCTCAAAGTCATTCACTGCCAGGTGGGCTTCTCCCCGGCGGAAGAGGCCCTTCTCATTGTTACTGTCCAGTTCCAAGGCCTAAGGATGCAGAGAGGAAGCAACAGTGAGATCTCAGCTCTTAGAGCTTGTCTGGGTGAGACTGGGTTCCGATATATCCCATCAGCAGGATGGGGCCAGCTCCACCCCAGACAGAACAAGTCTTGGGGCATTAAATGGAAAGGGCCAAGAGAGGAGAGGAGGCGTGGAGGGAACCTCACTTAGTCTAAGAGGCAGAGAGGGCTTACTTTCAGAGGGAATATAGTGTACCTCTAGGTGAAACATTTCCAGTCTCTTTAGAGAAAGCAGGTAGCTAAGAACCAGAATGGGAGAAAACTCTCAGTAGTTCTAATAGAGCCCTCCCACCACTAAAGCCTAAAGAGCTCTGATAGCATAGTGGTTACGAATTGGGCTGTGAACCTTAAGGTCAGCAGTTCAAAACTACCAGCCGCTCTGTAGGAGAAAGATGAGGCTTTCTGCTCCTCTAAAGATTTACAGCCTCGGAAACCCCGTACAGGGTCACTATGGGTTGGAACTGACTCGACGGCACTTAACACCACCACCACTAAAGCCAAGATTCTAGCTTCTCATTCTCTGCCTCTGAGCGCTATCTCAGTGCTTCCCTTCATCCATCCTCCTATCATGAGGACAAGTTGCTGACATGCAGGCAGTGCACTCAACCCTACTCTCTAAAGGGGCCTCACCTTGTTACAGCTTTCAATGGCAGCTGAGAAGACCTGCAGTTTCAGGTAACACATGGCCAGATTGAGGTGGGAGGCCAGTCGAAGAGCCTGTGCCTTTTGTGCTTCCTCACTGGACAAACTCGACCCATATTCCAGCCAGGACACAATCTTCTTGTATTGCACTAATGCTTGCTTGTACTTGCCCTCCTAGAAGAGGAAGAAAGTTTAGGCACCTAAGCCTTACATTACAGACATCAGTGACCCACGGGAAGGAGAGATACCGCTGCTCCCCCTGAGACTAGACAAGCCAGGCCAGGTCACATATACTAGGTGAAGATGCAGGGGAAACCCTTCTTGGGAGTTAAGGCCTGGTTGTTGGCTCACCTTGAAGTACACAGTGCCCCGTTCCTTCACTATGGTGCTCTGTTCCAGTTTCTCCTCCAAATTCATCTCCCATGACTCCTTGGCCTGCCATACCCCAAGGGAGAAACAAAGTTAGCTGCCCCAGAGTCATCTACAGGATGGGACCTGACTGTAGGAGAAGGAACACTGTGAGCTATCTTACCTTCTCAAAATTCTTGAGGTGAATTTCATATTTCAATTCAGCATGTGGTGGGATTTGGAACTTTTCCTTCCCAACATTGCCAAAGGCATAGCTGTGGGTGGGGAGGAAATTTCAGGTCATCGGGACAGCCATTACCTACTCCCGCTAAAAACAGGCTTCCTGCCCATTTTCTAGAAAATACCTCCCATCTCTTGAAACTTGATTTAAGTGTTTCCCCTCTAGCAACATCTTCTTTTGGCTTCTTCAGACAATTATGTGGCCCTGTATCGTCTATCCTTCAAATAACTCATGCTATAGAGTGGTATTCATTTAAATGTCATCTCTCTGACAAATGAGTCACTAGAAGGCAGGAACAATGTTCTGTTACATTTTGAAGTCATGATGTGGCGCTGTAGGATCAGCACTGGATTTTGAACCACAAAGTTGGCAGTAGGTTTGAACCAAAAACCTACCAGCTGTTCCTTGGAAACCCTATATAGGGTCACTAAGAGTCAGAACCGACTCAGCTGCACTAATAACAACAAAGAAATTCTTAGGACTGGACCTGGATCATAATAGGTGTTGTCTCAATGAATGCTAATTAATAACTGAGTTAAGAAAAAATGGAAATTCTTGATGTTTGATAGAAGGAATCTATAGCAGCAAAAACTGAAAAGATTATAGACTTGGATCCATGAGGTTTCTTTAGACAATTGTGGCCAATGAGGGACAGTGAGCATATGTATTGGGGGGCGGGTGGGAGGACAGAAAGGATAGTTATACAACTCACTTTGGACAGTCACATCTCTGCCTCACAAAGTGCCTACCCCTGACCTGGGTTTGAGGTACACAATGGAATGTTCTCCTTTCTCCATTCGCATAATGGTCTTCTCCAGCCCACAAGGCAGATCCAGATTCTCCCCATCACCGATCTCAAAGTGGAGCTCCCGCTGGTCAAACATCCGGTCCTTATAGTACCCTTCCAGGGTGACTGGCATAAAAGTGGAAAGGTATCAGGGTTGTGAGAAGGCAGGCCACTGCATAAGGATATCACCCTGTCACTTCCTGCCCCTAGATGTTCCTATTACCTTTTTATATCTGGAAGAATATTCACCGAGAATGGACCAACCCCTCATTTTATGGAAGAGAAAACAGGGCCTGAGAAGGAATGCCTTACCCAAAGTAACCAAGGGCCTAAGTATCAGTACGGAAACCCCAGACTCCAGACACTTGTATCTGTAACTCCAAACTGTACTGGCTCACCCTCCACGATAGCCCCCTCATTGGGCTTGGCATAGCCTTCACCCCGAGTCCGTATTCTACGGATGATGCCTCCATCTTCATCTTCTGTCAGGTCTTCTCCCTTGAACTCAAATAACTCTATCTGTGGGAGAAGATGTAAGATGATACAACTCCTTGCAGTAATTCACATTCACAGATACACCATTTCCCTCACCCTTAAAGCTCCCTCTCTGGGAGCAGGACTGTGTCTGACCACAAGGAGAGTCACACTAGGGGTCAGAGTGGCACTTTTGCTAAATTCTTGGGAGCTGTCCTAGTCTCAACTTTGTTAGAGGTGGGCAGGCCACACAGATTTCAGTTAATCTTAGGAGATCCATCTATTTACTACCTGCTCCACTTAACAAGGCCAAGTTCCAGCCAAATCCTAATTCAGTTTCCTTGTAAAGTCCAATTTGGTGGGTATTAAAAATGACCAAACATCTCAGTAATCTCTTCTGAACATTCTTCAAGTATCACCTGATTGGCTCAACCACTGTCAGACTCAATAAATAGTACATCCTCAAGAAAGTGTTTTCTTTTTATCATGACTTATGGGAGAGGCATCTCTCCCTTCTTCTGATATCTATAGTGCTATAATTTATATCTGCGTATAGATTTTGATCTCTTGATTCCTTTCAGTTTAAATCGCCACACAAGGTATACGTATGTCCTGGTGTGGCGCTGCAGAATACTGCAGCTTCAGCTGCAAGGTCAGTGGTTCAAATCCACCAGCTGCTCCTCAGAAACCCTAAATAGGGTCTCTATGAGTCAAATACAAGTTGATGGCACTTAATAACAACAAGATATACACATATCTCAACTCTTTACCCTGCTTTGAGTCTGAAAAGGGATGTAGTCACCTCTTCCACCTTGAAACCTCCACCAATGGATACTCTCTGGCAGCTACAGGCTGTGTGCAGAGTAGAGTCGGCTGCCCTCTCATTTCTCTTCCTCCCACAAGGCCAGGCCCTCAGCCTTGGCTACATTGTCTTCAAGAGGCAGGAAGGGCTGGAGGGCAGCCAGGCACTGGGCTCAGATAAGGCCTGGCTCTTTGCTTTCCTCCTCTCTGTGGTGGACACTTACCTCAAACACAAGCGTAGCACTGGATGGGATCTTTGGAGGACTGCCTGCCAAACCATAGGCATATTCTGGTTTGCAGGTGATGTGGCACACTTCCCCCACCTTCATGGTTGCGACAGCAATGTCCCAAGCCTTGATTACCTCCCCTGAAGGTGCAAAAGGCAAACAGGTCCTCCTTAGCAGGGTCTAACTATGGGCTCAAACAGAACTCCCAAAGAGACATACTATTCCGTGCCCAAGAGGAAGCAGAGGACCCTTTAGAAACGGGACCAGGAAAGTCAAAGGCCTGGTCACCGTATGTGTTGTCAGGTCTCTTAAAAAGTCTTTTCTCCTGGGGAGCAGTTGGTGAGTTCAGACCACTCACCTTTGAGTTAGCAGTCAAGTGCTTAACCATTAAGCCACCAGGGCTCCTTGAGGTAGAAATCAATATAGTTGCAGGATAGTGGAGAAAAAGAAGTACTACAGAAAGGGGAAGAGGACAGTCTAGGAGAAACCACTCCTCCTTGTGCCTGTGAATATGGTTTCTACTTGTCATAGCTTATACCCACCTTGCAGCCTATCTAGCAATCATGCCTACCTTTTCCTAAGTCAAAGGAGAATTTGTCCTTTCGGTCCAGACTGGAATCAAACTTAGTGCCATCTAACAGCCAGCCAGTGTAGTGGACAAAGACCCGGTCCCCAATCATGGGCATCTCTGTGCCTGTGCCCTCTCGTTTGATGACCTGGGAGGAAGGGGGGAAAGTGAGTACTGGGTGGGGATGAGGGTGGAGGTGGGGAAAGGCAGAAAAGGGTTCCTCTGTACCCACCCTCTCTGCAGATTCAAGGGACCAATCCTTAAATGATTCTGATACTATGATCAACTAATCTCTTACTTTCTTGAGGGGCAGGATGACCGCCAGTGAAAAACTGGAGATGAAAGACTTGAGTTCAGTTTTGTTGTTGTACGAAAATGTAATGAAAAGATAATGGAATTTTCCCACCAACTTTTTAAAGCCCCCTTGTATGATCTTGAGATAAGCCACTTAAACTCGCTAAACCTTGTAAAACAGGAATGATTTCCATCTCCTAGAGTTGTTGGAAGATCAAATCCATGGAGAGTTGAACAAAAGATGATTATCAATGAAGGCAGATGTATTTATGCTACATATCCTCATAAGTGCCAATGGTCATCACGGTTTGGTTTGAAGTCATCAGGGTTTGGTTTGAAGAAAGGAGACTGAAAGGATGAGTAATGGAGAGAATAGAAACCTTCCAGAAGAGATAAAAGGAAAGAAATAGCAAGTGTAGATGAACATGAACACAGAGGTTCTCAAGTCAGGTCCTAAACTCTTACCCTGTACAATGAGCATTTCTGACCCGTAGCTAATCAAGTTTTTTTAATTTCAGTGCTAGCATGCTTCCCAGGAACTTATAATCAAGGTAGAGTAGACAGGGGATTAAAACCCACTGCTGTGGGGTGATACTAACTCGGTAATGGTAGGGCAGAGGAGAACTGGTTCAGAGAATTTCCAAAGCTGTAAATCTTTACGGAAGTAGATTGCCTCATCTTTTTCCCATAGAGGGACTGGAGGGTTAGAACGACTGACCTCTTTTTCAGGGCCTAGTGCTTTCACCACTGTGCCACCAGGGCTCCCTTTGGATCCAGGACTAGATAATTTAGAAAGTAAAGGGAAGGAGTGAAGGATAAAAGTGGAAATGACCCTTCCGGGAATAATAGCCTTTTAGAAATCACCAGAAAGTTAGAGATGGGGAAGTCACATGTCCACAGGAAAAGAACTAGAGAAAGGGCTTGAGACCTCAAGTGTCTGGGACAAAGCTAGATGCCTTTCAAAATTGCCTAGTCTGGGTCAGGTGAACTTCCCGAGGTCTCCAGCTTTGCCCAGGTCTCACACAAAGGTGGATCTGAGCTGTGGGAAGCCAAGATAAGGAGACCCACTGGCACAGATAGAGCACGAAATGCAGGTTAGAATTTCACCACTCTCCACAGAATCTGCAGTGAACCATGGTCCTGGACCTCTATCCCCGCTGTAGGCAGGTGGCAACTCTGCAGAAAGCTCCAAAGCAAATCACCTCCTGTTCTCCCCATACCGCAAAAATCCAACTCTTGAAGGCAAAGCGGGAGGCGGCCGGAACTACATGTTCCGGCATGCACCGCTCCATCGTTTTACCCCCGGACTGGGGGAGGGGGAACAGCATGACTGAGCTGGTGACCTAGCTGGGTCCCAGCTTTTGAGGTGGATAGGGAGGGGGAATGAGTGGTGAGAGCGGAGGGCACTTTCCACATGGCCAGGCCTGGGTGCTAGATCCTATGAAGGCCTCTTGGCAGGAAATTACTCTTCTCAACTGCTTCACGTCCTAGTTAATATTTAACTGTCACGGAATGGCACCACCACCACCACCACCAGCGCCAGCACCACCGATGATGGTGGCTGGCAGGGAAGAAGCTGGCAGCGCAGCCTGGGCCGTGGGGTCGGGGAGAGGTGAAGGAGGGGCGGTGACGCCGCAGGCTCGGCCCCAGTCCTCGGTGCACACCGCTCAGGGCCCCCTAGCTGCAGCTCGCGTGCACCGCTCCGGCCCCGCCCCTCCCCTCGCCACTGCACCGTGCACGCCGGAGTTGGCTCTGCAGTGCCGGTCCCCTTCCAGGGCCCAAGGCGCTACAGAGGTGGGGGGCGGGGGACGGGCTGGGGGCTTCAACCCAGACAACAAGCTACTAGGGAGGCCAGGAAAATGGCTATGTTCAGGCCCGCGCACCAAAGCTACCTCCCTCCAGAGCGTGTGGCTGCCCTTCGCACCCCTCAAGAACGCAGCCCGGTCCAGAAAGACGATGCAACCAGTCCCCGGCTGCACCATTCACTCGGTAAATAACTAGAGGCTGCAGAGGCGGTCGTTCCCGACCTGCCTTAGAGTCTAGGGGCTGAAGGAAGGCTGCGATTCGGCGCCTGGGGCTCCGAGGCTTCCTAGCGGGTACTCGGGCTTCCCGGGTGTCCCCAAACTCCAGACCAGCGCACGCCCAGTCTCCGCCCCTTACCTTAAGTACTCCTTCATCTTGCTTGGGGCTGATGTCCACTCCTTCTAGAGTTAGCGGCGCTGACTGCGCCCCACTCTCCGCCGCCTTCATCTCCTCCGCGGTCATCGCCGCTTGGTGCGCCGTTTACTTCGGGAGCTGGGCACTGAGCGCGAGCCAAGCCCTCTCGGCCGCCGGGTCTGTCTGCACTGGTGTGCGGGTGGGAGGGCACTGGCGCTGCGGCCGGGGAGCTGCAAACCGGCCGAAGGCGCGAGCACCTCTGCCTCGCAGCGCGCTAGGCAGCCCGCGGCGGAGCGAGAGTAGGTGGGTAATGAGTGGCTAGGGGGAGCGATTGGTCCCACCCCACAGCCGGAGGGAGGGGCTGGGAGGAGCTGGAGCGGGAGCTAAGGACAGAGGGGTGGGGGTAGGGGTGGGGGTGGAGAACTTTCTAGAGACAACCGCGGCGGCTAAGCCGGTTCGGGCTCTTAGTTCTGAGGGCGCTTTTATGAATTTTCTTCTGGTCTATTTCTCTTCTAGGCTGCCTAGTTCTCCCCTGTCTCCAACATCTGGGACCCTCGGGCTCGGTAACACTCCCAAACACTCTACCCCGGTCTACTTCGACCGTTTCCCGGGCCAACTGGATTCTTCCAGATCCTTCTCGATCCCTCTATATCATTTCCAATAAATAGCGAACTTGCCAACCGCCTCAGGTCGGCCCTATACATTGCAACCCGCCTCGTGGTTTGTTTAGAGCTAAGTAGGCGGATGTGAGTAGCAGCGCGTCAGTCTTCTCCGGCCCAGAAACGCGCGTTTTCATAAAAGCCAAACCCTAAACACAGACGGCGTGGCTTCCTCGTTTTTTACTCTACTTTATGGGGTCGCTTTGAGTCGGAATCGACTCGATGGCAGTGAGTTTGATTTTGGGTTATACTTGACAAATTTGGCAGAGTGAAAGGAAGGGAATGAGGCTGCGGAGATGGGGGGGTGGTGGGTAGTAAGTGAATATCGATGCATAGAATTTGGGGGGTGGAGGGGTGGGTAGCAACCTTGATTTCCCCAGAGCCTAGAAGACCCAGCTATAGACAGTGTGCCTGCAGCCTTCAGCTCTTTAAAATGCTTGAAGCTGCTGATTTGCAAGAAATGACCCGCTGAGCTAAGGAATCCTAAATGGGGCATACATTAAAGGGACCTTCCTCCGCAATAATAAAACTTGCTTTGGTTAATTCTTAATAACAAAAATTATTACAACGTACTAAAAAAAGTCATTCCATTTTACTAAAGGTCCGTAAGAAGGTATATTTTGTTCTTAATATCTGATTCTCAAGGGTAGGTGAGAGCTCTTTGAGAGTTCTGATTTTGTAGAGCACTTACCTCCAGTTTTGCAGCGCTGGTGAACTGTGAGTATCAATATTATTGCTTGATTGCATGAATCTTTATTCCAGTAATAATAAATAATATTAATAACAACAAAATATTGTTGTGCCTGTGTTGCTATACAAAGAATATCTCATTGAACTAGGTAATTAAAATAGCTATTATAGCTGAAAGGAATCCCTGAGTGGTTCAAACTCCTATTAACTATATCAAGGAAAAAAGACCTGCCTGCTGTCTGCTTCTAAAAGAAAGCCCAATAGTGCAGAGTCTGCTCTGAAACACATGGAATTATCATAGATGACATTTCAGTACAATAGCAGTTTTTAAAAACTTACTGTTTAAGTTTACAGAGCAAATCAGTTTTCCATTCATCTAATACACATTTTGTTTTATGTCATTGATTGCAAGCCCCACAACATTGCTTATCCTTCTTTCTCCCTGTGTTTTCCTGTTTCCGTTTGTTCCTCCTTCTTTCCTAGCCTTCCCTCCCTTCTGAACTTTATCCTTGGGCAAATGCTACCCTTTGGATCTCAAATGGTTGCTTCTTTTAAGGAGTGTTTAACTCCCTAGTGTTATTGTTCACCTTACAGACTGTCTTCAGTTCAATAACACTTAGATAATTTATTGTAGTTTGTCTCTTCTGGTGGAACTTGACTAAAAGGGAATGCAGAAGAATTAAAACACTTCCCTCTTATAATTTACAGCCTTAATTGTATTTAGTCACAACTAAGACATGCTCTGAAGTCATGGTGTGGTGCTATAGGATAAGCGTTGGACTGTTAACAAGGTTGGCGACTCAAACCCACTAGCTGTTCCTTGGAAAACCTCCACAGGGTCACTATGAATTGGCATTGACTTGATGGCTGTGGGTAGGGTTTCTAGCAGGGTACAGCAACATCAGTACCAAGTCTTCCAAAACTGGAGACTGGATGCACCTGCTGGTTCTCATTGTGTAGTTGTTGTTAGGTGTCGTTGAGTCAGTTCTGACTCAATCCTGCGCCATCCTCACAATCATTGTTACACTTGAAACTATTGCTGCTGCCACTTTGTCAGTCCATCTTTTTGTGGAGCCTCCTCTTTTTTGCTGACCTTCCACTTTATCAAGCATGATCTCCTTCTCCAAGGACTGGTCCTTCCTGACAATATATCTGAAGTATGAGAGATGAAGTCTGTCCATTCTGGCTTCCAAGGAGCATTCTGGCTGTACTTCTTCCAATACAGAATTGTTCTTCTGACAGTCCGTGATACTTTTAATATTCTCTTCCAACACCATAACTCAAATGCATCAATTCTTCTACCATCTTCCTTATTCACTGTCCAAACTGCACATGGATATGAGGCTATTGAAAACACTTTGGGTTAGGCGCACCTTAGTCTTCAAACAGATATCTTTGCTCTTGAACACTTTAAGGAAGTTTTATGCAGCAGATTTGTCTAATGCAATACATCATTTGATTTCTTGACTGCTGCTTCCATGAGTGTTGATAGTGGATCCAAGCAAAATGAAGTCTTTGACCACTTCAATGTTTTCTCTATTTGTTGTTGTTAAGTGCTGTTGAGTCAATTCCAATTCATAGTGACTAATGGACTTGTGAGTTTGATGAGTTTGAGCTGCCGACCTTGCAGTTCAAACCGACCTTGTAGTCAAGTGGTTATCTTATGGTGTCATACCAGGATTCGTTAAATCTTTGTGGGAACAGAAAGCCTTATCTTTCTCCCAAGGAGTGTCTTGTGAGCTTAAACTGCTGACCTTGTGGTTTGTAGTCCAGTGCTCATTGTATAGAGCTACTGCACTTTCATGATGTTATTTATTGGTCCAGTGGTGAGAATTTTGGTTTTTTTTACATTGAGTCTCTACTTGAAGCTTCATCAGTAAATATTTTAAGTCTTCTTTGCTTCCAGCAAAGAAGATTTATCATCTGCATATTACAGGTTGTTAATAAATCTTCCTCTAATCTTGCTGCCATGTTCTTCTTCATATAATCAAGCTTCTTAGTTTATTTGCTTGGCAAACAGATTGAATAAATATGGTGAAAGAATACAACCCTGTATAAAAATGGTGAAAGAATACAATACCTTTCCTGATTTTAAACCATTCAGTGTACCCTTGTTTTGTCCAAACAACTGCCTCTTGGTCTATGTACTCAGGTTCCTCATGGGTATCCTGGAATACCCATTCTTCGCAATGTTATCTACAGTTTGTCATGAACCACACAGTTTAAAACCTCTGCATAATCAATAAAGTACAGGTAAATATCTTTCTGGTAATGTCTGATTTCAGCTAAGATCCATCTGATGTCAGCAATATGATCCCTTGTTCCATATCCTCATTTGAATCCAGCTTGAACCTCTAGCGTTCCCTGTCAATACAGTGTTGCAGCTGTTTTTGAATTATCTTTAGCAAAATTTTAATTGCATGTGATATTAATTGTTCAGTGATTTTCACATTCTATTGGGTCGCATCTCTTTGGAATAGACACACATGGATCTCATCCAATCAGTTGGCCAGGTAACTGTCTTCCAAGTTTCTTGGCCTAGATAGATGAGTGAGTGCCTCTAGTGCTACATCAGTAGGTAGTGGGTGGTGGTGGTGATGTGACATGGAGTTGGTTCTGACTCATAGCGACCCTGTACAGGTTTTCCGAGGTTATAAATCTTTACAGGAGCAGAAATCCTCATCTTTCTCCCACGGAACAGCTGGTAGTTTCGAACTGCTGACCTTGAGGTTCACAGCCCAATTCGTAACCACTACGCTACTAGAGTAGTTGTTGTTGTTAGGTGCCATCGAGTCGGTACCAACTCATAGTGACCCAATGCACAACAGAACAAAACACTGCCCGATCCTGGGCCAACCTCACTATTGTTGCCACCATTGAGCCCATTGATG